CTTTGGACTCTCTCTTTCCTACATCTTTTTCGGGCCAATTTGCCGCCCCACAGGAAGAAGTTATTGCCGTAGGTGCCGATCGCAGGAACCAGGAGATGCGGCTCATTGGTACAAACGACTATACCAGGATGCGTTCCGAGGTTTCGGGGCGAAGCAGCGCGTGCGTGGAAAGTTCCAGGGCGACATCGGAGGCGTCAACTGGTTCCGTGGCACGGTGGTGGCGGTGCTCTCGCCGACCACCTCGTGCGGCCTCTCGGCTGTACCTCGGCTGTACCTCGGCTGTCTCTGTGCGGCAGGTGCACGCCGACGGCAGCTGCGACATCGACTACGACGACGGCGACGAGGAGAAGAGCGTGGCGCCGCGCCTCATCCTGGACGACTCCCGAGATTGCCCGAGATCACCCGAGATTACCCGAGATTACCCGAGATCAGGCGCCGCGCTTTATCCGGGCGCTCGGTGAGGCGGGCGCAGCGGCGGCGGCGGAGGCAGAGGAGGCGGAGGGGGCGGCGGAGGAGGCGGAGGAGGTGGTGGAGGAGGAGGAGGAGGAGGAGGCGGAGGAGGCGGATGCGGACACGCTGGCAGCTGAGGCAGTGGCGCTGGCGGCGGCAGCGCAGGCGGCGGAGGAGGAGGCGGAGGCCTCAGCGGCGGAGGGGCGCGGCGCAAAGGACGCCGCCGCGCTTGCGGCGCGCGCGGCGGCGGCCGGCGCCGAAGGGCGCGCTGTGCTCGCGGCGGTGAGACGGCTCAAGAGGGGTCCTCCTCCGGCTGTGAACGGCGTCTCTTCACGCCTGCGGCTGTGCATAGGTGGGACGGGAAGAGGGAGGCGCTGGCCTGCTGTGAACGGCGTCTCTTCACGCCTGCAAGCTGTGAGCAGGTGGGACGGGAAGAGGGAGGCGCTGGCCTGCTGTGAACGGCGTCTCTTCACGCCTGCAAGCTGTGAGCAGGTGGGACGGGAAGAGGGAGGCGCTGGCCTGCTGTGAACGGCGTCTCTTCACGCCTGCAAGCTGTGAGCAGGTGGGACGGGAAGAGGGAGGCGCTGGCCTGCTGTGAACGGCGTCTCTTCACGCCTGCAAGCTGTGAGCAGGTGGGACGGGAAGAGGGAGGCGCTGGCCTGCTGTGAACAGCGTCTCTTCACGCCTGCAAGCTGTGAGCAGGTGGGACGGGAAGAGGGAGGCGCTGGCCTGCTGTGAACAGCGTCTCTTCACGGCTGCAAGCTGTGAGCAGGTGGGACGGGAAGAGGGAGGCGCTGGCCTGCTGTGAACGGCGTCTCTTCACG